TCGCTATTGATCCTGATCAAGAATATATATATGACCTTTATGGTGTCGGAAAAGCTTCCTTCTATCTGTTTCATCCTTTTCAACTATACTACATTAGTTGAACTATTATGACTATTATTGACTACTATATACTAGTATTTTATTCTACGAGTAACGGGTATAAAAAGGGAATCTTCCAAGAAACAAAACTGAAGGTCAACAATGAAGAAGATTTAGATAGATCGTAAAGCAGCAAGGGCCCTTTAAATCCCCTTCTCAACAACTAATAGTATATATATATATAAATTAATTTAATACCGACCTTTATTGTATTATTTCACTCAAGCCCGTTGGGGCAAGGATCCATTAATAAGAGATTGGTTTAATTATTTTTCTTTATTTATTTCACCTAAACCTGTTAAGGTAAAGGATAATATAAACAGAGTGATATAATTGATATAATTATTTATTACGCAGCTATGGCTGCGGAGTATGATTTAAAACTTTTCCCCTAAACCTGTTAGGGTAAGGGATAGTTATGATTGGTTTTACATTATTAAATTATTACACATTTATTTTACTCCATGTCATTAAAGTCTAGTATACCTGCAAAAACTTTTAAGGCTTGCCCTAATTAAGTTTATATTCCTAGCGGATGGATTTTTAGGGTAGCTACCAACTTGCGAATGTGTCTGATGTCCGTATCTAAAATTGTTAGTCTGTGGTTGTCGGTAAATGTTCTCGTTAGCGTATCCGTCTGGTCAGCAAAGTCCTCGTAGGTCGTCACGTTCGTTGCACTTTGTAGGTATCCGAATGATTCCAATGTCACTGTCCCCTGTGGGGAATAGTCCGTGTTCGTATAGTCATTCAGTTTCACCGTCGCGTCCGTCTTAACAGCCATTAGTGCTCATATTATAATGTATTTTATATAATGTAGAAAAATATAGATGAATATAAAAAATATAAAAAGAATAAAAAGGTATAAAAAGTTGTCGGTAGTCTTTGTGGACCACCCTCCCTCTAATTAAGACCGTTGTCCCCAGGTCTGCTTAAACAGTTTCCTATACTCTGCAATAACCTCGTCGTCTGACTCGGTTTCTTTATGGTTTCGGTACATGGAGCCGTTACTTAATTTTTTTTAAGCAAAAATTTGTCCATGGGCAGTCGGAAATTTTATTTTAAAATCTGCTAAATAAATATATTTATGTTTTAATATGTTCTCTTTGGGACACCCAGAAAAATTCAAATAAGAGCTTTTTACTTTATTTAAATATTGTTTAAATAAATTTAATTTTTTTTTTCAAAGGTTTTTATTTTTGAGAGAAATAAAAAAATTTTTTAATTTAATTCGTAAGTTTTTATTTACTCGAAATTGCAAACAGAGGGAATTCTTAATGTTCCCCCAGTTAGGTGTCGCGGATTTATTTGTTTTATTTGGCGATAATTTAGACAAAAAGCCTACTCACATTTCGTATGGTTTTGTATGTTGTTGTGGCCGTCGCTGCCGTCGTCGCCGCTGCTGCCGTCGTCGCCGCTGCTGCCGTCGTCGCCGCTGCTGCCGTCGTCGTTGCCGCCGCTGTTATCGCCGCCGCTGCTGTCGCTGCCGCTGTTGTCGCTGCCGCTGTTTTGTCTGTTGCTGTCTTTGTTGCCGCTGTTTTTCACTGCTGCTGTCTTTGTTGCCGCTGTTTTTCACTGCTGCTGTATTCGTTTTGTTTTTATTTGGCGTATTTTGTGTCTTTACTGCCGCTGTTTTTGCACAAAGTTTGTGAATTTCTCTTTTTTTTTGAGTGGGGAATTTTTTTCTGTTCCCGTTTTTTTTTTTCGTAAGAAAAAATTTCTTGGCGTATTTTTCCTGCCAATTTGAGCACTGTACTTTTGTGTGTTCTCTTTTTTTTTATTATTAATTAATTTTTTAATTAATTATCACTTGAGTGGGGAATTTTTTCCTGTTCACGTTTTTTTTTTTCGTAAGAAAAATTTCTTGGCGTATTTTTCCTGCCAATTTGAGCACTGCACTTTTGTGTGTTCTCTTTTTTTTATTATTAATTAATTTTTTAATTAATTTTCACTACCGATTGCAATTACTTCTGTAACTGCATTAAACTTCGTATCGCGTGAGTAGGTTACGTTGGGCGTCAATTAATTTAATACCGACCTTTATTGTATTATTTCACTCAAGCCCGTTGGGGCAAGGATCCATTAATAAGAGATTGATTTAATTATTTTTCTTTATTTATTTCACCTAAACCTGTTAAGGTAAAGGATAATATAAACAGAGTGATATAATTGATATAATTATTTATTACGCAGCTATGGCTGCGGAGTATGATTTAAAACTTTTCCCCTAAACCTATTAAAGTAAGGGATAGTTATGATTGGTTTTGTTGTCCGTGTGTTGTCCGTGTGTTGGCCACCGAATGTGGCCCGCAACTCGGCAGTTTCCCAATTTGGGAACTGGGTGTGTTAACTTCTCCTCCTTTTAAGTGGTCGCCGTCCCGGTGACCCGATGGTTCCAAGTCATCGTTAATTCTTGAGTTAGCGTGGACTTTGTTCTTCAGGTGATGGTAGCTGAGCCAAAGGGTTGAACACACCAGGAGGAAGCCGAGTAGGGCGAGGGAGTCGCTGACGAAGGAACCCAAGGAAAGTTCTTCCCTAAGGGTTCCTCAGACTCAACTCGTGCAGAAACGGAAGGCTCAGCCGAGCTTGGTGGGTCGTGATTGCTGAGCACAGGTGTTATTTTGGAGCTCCCTGCAGAAGGTGGCGCCAACTGTCGTCTTGCAGTACCCGATGTTGAGGTTTCGTCCCGTGCACTCAGCGACTAGGTTTCCGTTTTCGAAGTCTAGGATCTTGTTCTGGTGCTGGACCGGATAGACTGTTATCTTCTTACAAACAAGCTTAGGGTTAGGAAATTAGAGAAAATGAATGAAATGAATGATATCGGAATTTTGAAAAACACTTATACTAGATACTTCTAAAATTTCTATTAAGCTAATGTTAGTAGGCTGTTTGTCTTTAAATTCGCCAATGTCGGAGCTATCTAGAATTGCCGGACTTACAATGTTTAATTTTGCTAGGGTTAATTATTATTAATTAGAATGTTTTCCAAATCAGTTATGACGATTCTAAAGTTCTTGGAATTTGATATTTAATTCTGTTTTTATTAGTTGCTGTTGTTTAAATTTTACTCCATGTCATTAAAGTCTAAAAAAAAAAGTTGCGCATCGTATCTCTCTTATAGTTCCTGAGATATCAGCGTTCATACGGACATGGCTAAATCGACTTCGCTATTGATCCTGATCAAGAATATATATATGACCTTTATGGTGTCGGAAAAGCTTCCTTCTATCTGTTTCATCCTTTTCAACTATACTACATTAGTTGAACTATTATGACTATTATTGACTATTATATACTAGTATTTTATTCTACGAGTAACGGGTATAAAAAGGGAATCTTCCAAGAAACAAAACTGAAGGTCAACAATGAAGAAGATTTAGATAGATCGTAAAGCAGCAAGGGCCCTGAAGTAGTTATAACAGGAATAAAGCGTATTGTTCTGGTAGTTTACATTGTGGAAGAGAGTTTCGCAGTCAAGCTTGTTACGAACATGGTTAACAGGGCAAAAACATCACAATCAGAAAACCACAATTGCTAAACTTCCTTAATACAGTATCTTCTTTGTTTTCTGCCCATTCTTTTGTGATGCAAAGGTTACCGCGAGCAACGCAGACTTTGCAGACTGAAAGAAGTAATGATCTGTTTTTATACCCGTTCCTCGTAAAGTAAAGGGGTATAGTAGATTCATTAAAAAATAATTATCCGTCTGTCCGTATAAAGGCTGAGATCTCAGAAACTAAAAGAGATATAGAGTTATGATTAGGCAGGCAGATTCTTGAGGCCCATACGCAGCAGTTTATTTCAGCATCTTTGTATGCCTTTAAATCCCCTTCTCAACAACTAATAGTATATATATATAAATTAATTTAATACCGACCTTTATTGTATTATTTCACTCAAGCCCGTTGGGGCAAGGATCCATTAATAAGAGATTGGTTTAATTATTTTTCTTTATTTATTTCACCTAAACCTGTTAAGGTAAAGGATAATATAAACAGAGTGATATAATTGATATAATTATTTATTACGCAGCTATGGCTGCGGAGTGTGATTTAAAACTTTTCCCCTAAACCTGTTAAGGTAAGGGATAGTTATGATTGGTTTTACATTATTAAATTATTACACATTTATTTCCCCTAAACCTGTTAAGGTCAAGGATAGCATAAATGGTTTTATAATAATTATTAATTACACAGCTATGGCTGCGGAGTACGATCTTAGACTAAACTAAATATCCGATCCGGCCGCAGCTAGAAGTCTTCGTCTGGTTGCAGCGCTGTCGCCAAAGTGCCGGATCAGCATTTTTATCCAGGTGCTGACGATCACTCGCTGAGCGAGTGTTCTGGCCGGGAACTGTGGGATTGTCTCCAGAGTGCAGAGTTGACGATTTCCTTAATGCGCGTGTTGGCCACTTCTGATCGGGCTCTGGGTGATTGCCCCCAGAGTGCAAAGTCGGCGGTTTCTTCGTTGCGCATGTTGACCACTTCTGGCCGGACTCCGGGTGATTGTCCCCGGAGTGCAGAGTCGGCAGTTTCCCTATTCCGTGTGTTGGCCACCGGATGTGGCCCGCAACTCGGCAGTTTCCCAATTTGGGAACTGGGTGTGTTAACTTATACTTTATATATTCGGAAACACCACTTATATCTATACCGCTGTTATGAATAGTATGTATTTCGATGTCTAATGGGTCTAACTGAAACATCATATATTTTTTTTACAATCATTTTATTTTCAGAAATAATCAACCATTTCAGGTTTTTTGTATAATTTTTTAGACTAAATGCATAATAGTTGGTCAAGTGTATTGTACATCGAAAGAACCATCATAAATAATTATTAGATTAATCATTAGATAATTTTTTATGACACATCTTTTTTATGATTTTAAATCTTTTTAATCTCAGAGGACGAGGACCCTTGAAAACTACTATGGATGTTATCAATGCAGCAAAAAAAATTTCTGAAGCTGGAACAAAATTAGATAAACTTACCAGGGAAATAGCAGAGCAATGTCCGGAAAGTAGCACAAAAAAGGACCTATTAGCCTATCTCCAACGTATTGCTTTATACTGTCACCAAATCCAAATAACATCTAAAGTAAAAGCTGATGTTCAAAATATTAGCGGCGAACTTATTGTTTCTGGGGTAAATATCGAAAAATATTAAAATAAATTAATACAGTTAATGTATCCATTTTTTTTTAGCTGGATAGCGCAACATCGTTGATTCAAGCCGCTAAAAATTTAATGAATGCAGTGGTATTAACAGTCAAATACTCGTATGTGGCATCGACAAAATATACTAGACAAGGGACTGTATCGGTAAGATTGATCTCTACAAATAGAAGCCAAAAATATTTTATTAATTTAAATGTATTTTTTAGTCCCCAATTGTAGTGTGGAAAATGAAGGCTCCAGAAAAGAAACCATTGGTCAGGCCTGAAAAACCTGAAGAAGTTAGGGCAAAAGTTCGCAAGGGATCTCAAAAAAAGATTCAGAACCCTATACATGCATTATCTGAATTTCAAAGTCCTGCTGATGCTGTTTAAAATAAAATAATAAATAATACATTGATAAATAACGGTAAAAAGAAAAATATATATCAGTATTGGACTTGTCTTTATTTTACAAAATCTCCTATTTATTCAATTTTATCGATTAAAACGTTCTTGTAATATCACAACTACTGTTATATCAAAATAATAAAAAAATGTATATCTACACATTAAAAATTTTGCATTTACACTTCCCCTGTGAGCCCGTATAACCTTTGAGGTTGGTGTGCGTAATAGTGGGTGTGGTATCACCACAAGTTGCGCTTGCATCTTAATATTTTATATACTGAACTTCAACTTCCAAGCTCTAATAGTTCCTGAGATTTCAGCAATCTTAGTTTTTCGTGATTTCTGGGCGTTAGAAAGGGCGTGGCAGGATGCTGAAAAAAACTTGCGATGCGTAGGGACCTCCAGAATCTACATGCTTAATCTCACTCTGTATCTCTTATAGTTCCTGAGATCTCAGCGTTCATACGGACAGACGCAATATCAAGAATATATATACTTTATAGTGTTGGAAAAATTCCTCTTACCTGTTTCATCCATTTCAACAAATGTAGTATACCATTATATACTAGTATTTTACTCTACGAGTAACGGGAGTAAAAGGGAACCGTCCAAAAAACAAAACTGAAGGTCAAAAACAAGAGGAAACGCTATAGTCGAGTGCCGCGACTATAAGATACCCGTTACTGTTTTACAAAATTTTAAAATATTATTTTGCTACTGGAAATTCCCAATGCGCCACCTATTGTCAGAGGAAGTATGTTGAGTATGCTTATAGTGACGTCATTGCCCATGTGAGACCTTATAACTTAATTTCTTTATAAATAGCGAAATAATGTTCCGATTTGAAAAATCTTTGGTAAATCGATATATATTAACAGAAATAAGTTACACAAGGTGAAACGAAGGCATTCATAATAATATTATAGACGCCGCAGTTTTCCGCAGTTTGTGGTCGTTAGAGTGGGCGTGGCCGGATGCAACTTCGTGGCAAGTTGCAGAGGCATCTCCTAAATACGTGTTCCTAAGCAAAATTGTGTAGCTCTTATAGTTTTCGAGAGTGGGCGTGGCTTGATCGGAAAAAAACAATTCGCATTGGGAGCATCATAAAAACCTACATGCTGAATCCGAACTTTCTATCTCTTATAGTTACCGAGATATCAGCTTTTCTAGAAAATCCTAAAGCTGTCTTTTGAGCGTTGTGGGCGTAAGGGTGGGTGTGGCCGGATAGTAGTACCACAATAAGATGCGCTGCCATCTAAAGATTATACTTTCTGAAATTCATCTTTCTAACTGCAATAGTTCCTGAGAATTCAGAAATTTTAGTTTTTTGCGATTTGTGGGCGTTCGAGTGGGCGTGGCAGGATGCTGTAATAAACTTGCGCTGTCCCGGGACCTCAAGAATCTTCATGCTTAATCTTAACTTTGTATCTGCTATAGTTCCTGAGATCTCAGCGTTCATACGGACGGACAGACGGACATGGCTCAATCGACTTCGCTATTGATCCTGATCAAGAATATATATACTTTATAGGGTCGCAAAAGGTTCCTTCTATCTGTTACATACTTTTCAACGAATCTAGTATACCCTTTTACTCTACGAGTAACGGGTTTAATAAATAACATTTAGATAGATTGTAAATCAGCAAACTAAAAGAGATATAGAGTTGAGATTAGGCAGGCAGATTCTTGAGGTCCCCACACATTGCAGTTTATTTCAGCATCTTGCCACGCCCACTATAACGCCCACAAACCGCGGAAAACTGTGGCCTCCATTTATTATAGTGTATGTCTTTGTTTGACCTCGTATAATATATTTTTATTAATATTTATCGATTTACCATAGAACATTATTTCGCTATTTATGCGACAATGGGTGGAGCTTTGGAATTTTCCACTAATCTACAAACTGTATTTTTCAAAAATGTGTGTAACAGTATCGGGTATTTTATAGTCGCGGCACTCGACTATAGCGTTTCTTCTTGTTTAAATATTATTTGTTAATTATTTAGTGGGATTTAAATGGGTATAGGCTAGCGTTGGGAGGCTACCCCGGTAAATCCCATCTAATCCCGAGCTTTGGTTGCCTTTAAATCCCCCTCCCAACGACTAATGACACATATATATACTTTATATATTCGGAAACACTTATATCTATACCGCTGTATGAATAGTATGTATTTCGATGCCTAATCGGTCTAACCGAAACATCGTTTTTTTTTTATTAATAACTGATTTAGCTGTTTAAACATCATTTTATTTTCAGAAATAATCAACCGTTTCAGGTTTTTTTGTATAATCTTTTAGACTAAATGCGACATAGATGGGCAAGTGTATTGTACATCGAAAGAACCATCATAAATAATTATTAGATTAATCATTAGATAATTTTTTATGACACAAATTTTTTAAATTTATAGATAGATTTTAAATTTTCTTGTTAATCTCAAAGGACGAGGACCCTTGAAAACTACTATGGTTGTTATCAATGCAGCAAAAAAAAAATTCTGAAGATGGAACAAAATTAGATAAACTTACCAGAGGAAATATCGGAAAATATTAAAATAAATTAATAGAGTTAACATATCAATCTTTTTTTAGCTGCATAGCGCAACATCGTCGATTCAAGCCGTTAAAAATTTAATGAATGCAGTTGTTTAACAGTCAAATACTCGTAAGGGACTGTACCGGTAAGATTGATCTCTAAAAATAGAAGCCAGAAATATTTTATTAATTTCAATTTATTTTTTAGTCCCCAATTGTAGTGTGGAAAATGAAGGCTCCAGAAAAGAAACCATTGGTCAGGCCTGAAAACCCTGAAGAAGTTAGGGCAAAAGTTCGCAAGGGATCTCAAAAAAAGATTCAGAACCCTATACATGCATTATCTGAATTTCAAAGTCCTGCTGATGCTGTTTAAAATAAAATAATTAAATAACGGTAAAAAGAAAAATATAAATCGATATTGGACTTGTCTTTATTTTAAAAAATTTCCCATTTATTCAATTTTATCGATTAAAACGTTATTGTAATATCACAACTACTGTTATATCAAAGTAATAAAAAAAATCTATATCTACACATTAAAAGTTCTACATTTACATTTTCTTTTTATTTGCAACCGGAGGTGTTTGGATCTTGCTAAGGAGCCCAAAAAGGTTGCAAGATCTGAAGCATTTCTCGAAATCAAACGTCTCGACCAGGAGTGCTCAAATTCGTCTTACGGCAGAGCATTTACTGCCACAAATACAAGAAAACGTCTACAATTTAGTGACGCTTTTGTGTTGATTTGCAGCAAAACTTATCTCCGAACATCCCATATGCACGGAGCTTTTACAAAAACAACTGATCACTGAGAGCATAGGCGTTGGCCCCGACTCCTAACCCCAAACAGGGTTGCCATTACTTAGTCTTGGAGCTCATAATGCCCTTCCCCCTCTCCACAATCGACGCACTGACGTCAGCTTAGGCAATCTCTTCTACGGTACCATCGGTAACTACCGTTTTTGCAAATACAATAACAACCACGTCTACGTCGTCGTCGGCTCTACAGCCAATTCTCTCATTGCAAGCTGGACTCGCCTCTGCAGTTCCTCCCCCAAAAACTGCACGGCTTCAATTTCAAAATATTCATTTTGCTAGTGGAAATTCACAGAGCGCCACCTATTGTCAGAAAAAGCATGTTTACTAACTAATCGTGCCGTCACTGGCCCTATGAGCCCTTAAACCCTTTGAACTTGGTGGCCGTAAGAGTGGGTGTGGTATAACCTTCAGATGGGCTTGCATCTCAATATTTTAAATACTGAATTTCAACTTTCAAGCTCTAATAGTTCCTCAGATTTCAGCAATTTTAGTTTTTCGTGATTTGTGGGCGCTAGAAAAGGCATGGCAGGATGCTAAAAAAAGTTGCGCAGCGTAGCTCTCTTATAGTTCCTGAGATCTCAGCGTTCATACGGATATGGCTAAATCGACTTCGCTATCGATCCTGATCATGAATCCTTTTACCTGTTTCATCCTTTTCAACGAGTATAGTATACTATTATATACAAGTATTTTACTCTACGATTAACGGGTATAAAGGGAACCGTCCAAGAAACAAAACTGAAGGTCAACAATGAAGAAAATTAAGATAGATCGTAAAGCAGCAAGGGCTCTCAAGTAGTTATAAAAGGAAAAAAGGCTATTGTCCCGGTTTCGCAGTCAAGCTTGTTACGAACATAGTTAACAGGGCAAAAATAGCACAATCACTGTTTAAGATCTAGCTAGCGGCCGAGTCCGCCGAACCCCAGAAAAACTCAGTTCCCCCATATATAAGTTTTAGTACCTTCTCCAACGTAGAATTACCGTGTAGGGGCCTCATAATAGAAACGTTTCTGTCCAATGCGTGAACTGCCAGGAGTATTGTTCAGAAAGAACACACGAAAAAGTATATACATAGATAAGATGCATATGTTAGGTACTAAATCTTTGCAGCTATGTACTGCATTTGTCTATCTATAAGTACATCCGCCACTTGGGCCTACCTAAATACAAGCAACCCGAAATATGACCTCCTGCGAGCGGTCTGGGTTTGTTTAAGATACCATATGTGCTATCGGAGTAAATGTGTGCTCCCTTATCACACTTAGAGTATTACCCACGATTGGGAACTGTCCGATGCGTGGGTCTAGAACTAAGATCAATAATGTACATTCTCATGTTAGCTATTTAAGATAGGATTTGAACGAATAAAATTTAGTTTGAAATATTAACTCAACAACGTCAGACGCTCGTTTTATTTACAGCCTCTCTCGACATTTTGGTCCTTCGACCGCTCTGCAACTTTCCCCCCTGTGGTAAGAGGTTCAGAGTTTTATAAACCAGCGCCTTAAAAAATATATTAAGGCTGCTAAAAATAAATATCTCTTGTGTCCCCCACCCGTGGTAAGGAACAGAGAATAAATATATAAACAAAAAGATACAAAAGATTCTTTTGTGTTTTAATAAAAAAAGCACCTTGTAGTTAGAAAAAACTAAAGGTAGCTTAAAAAAAAAAAAAAAAAATTTTTTAAATCGAAAAATTCGTAAGGCGTGCTTGAGGCCATAAACATCAGCATAAAGTGCGTGAATATAATAAAAAGAAAAAATATATAAATATATATTAAACGCGACGGGTATTAAGTGCCAATTAAATA